ACGGACCATAATACAGAAAGTGATGGTCTGAATTGCGCGAATATCGAAAGGGATTGAGATATTTAGGATATAAAGATATATTTAAAGTTCCATCTGAATCGGATAAAAATTGTGACATCTAGGGGGTCCACAACCTTGACACTACATACTTTTACACTATTTGCGTACAAGGAGCGGCCATTTTGTCAGGTAGTTTCGGTCCGATTTTACAAAATTCAAACTTAACCATCATTAGGGTGTAACGATGATAGACGTAAACGTTTTTTTTTTTAAATCGGATAAAAAATGTGACCTCTAGAGGGTCCACAACCTAAAACGTGATTTTTCGTACAATCAGGGGCCTTAGGTTACGGTCTGATATGCGCGAATATCGAAAGAAATCAAGATCTTTGGGATATAAACATATATATAAAGTTTCATCAAAATCCATAGCCTTGTTATTACATACTTTTACATTGTCGGGCAGTTTCGGTCCGATTTTCACGAAATTCGAACTCAATCATCATTAAAGTGTAGCGGTGATGTATATGAACGGTTTCGTAAATCAGATAAAAAATGTGACCTCTAGGGGGATGTGCGCGAGTATCCTAAGGAATCGAGATCTTTTGGAGATAAACCTATATTGCATTTTTCGTCTAAATCGAATAAAAATTGTGACTCTAGAGTGTCCACAAATTTCGTCTAAATCGAATAAAAATTGTGACTCTAGAGTGTCCACAAGCTATAAGCGTGATTTTTCATACTATCAGGGGCCATAATCCACGAAGTTTCGATCCGATACATGCCAATATCGAAAGGAACCGAAATCATTTGGAGATAACTCTATAATGCAAATTTCGTCGGATACAAATTGTGACCTGTAGAGTGTCAAGAAACAAATTGTGGACGGACGGACAGACAGGGGCGAAGGCATAATACGTCCACGTGAAAATTTGGGCGTATAAAAATATTCAGCCCAACGAAAATTTGGGGAAAAGTTGGAGTCGGGCAAAGGGCCAGAATTAATATTAGGAAATTAATGGTGGCCTGCCTCCATCTTAATTTCAACAAAATGCGAGTTCCCCCCCTTCGTCCACAAGCTATATATTTATGAAATTGTTTGATTGGTCGAAATTTGTACTATTGTCAAGGGCGGATAATTTGGATATGTGTCTCTCCCGTAAATGGACCCAGTGGTTAGTGAAGTAGAACGAAATGATGCAACTGTGATGGTTACTAAAGGGTGGTCAAGCTGTTTATTATCTATAGCTTAAAGACAGGACAAAGGATCAGAAAAGTTAACATGCTTCAAAATTGATGATTGAATGAAATGAAATGGGGTTTAACCTTCTACTGTTCTGCTCCGAACTTGGCTAATGAAGACTAGACAACTGTCCTTGTCAGTCCCTCCGTCCTGCATCATTGACAAGGGGAACCGCGCCGGAAAATCTGGATGAACTTTCTCGGCCAATCGAACACCCGATGATTGAATGAAATCCAAGATCTGAACATACTATTTCGTATGTCATGTTATCCATCTCGAACGTAACCAATGTTTTAAACTATCCTTCCCAGTTAATAAAACTGGCAAATTTACAGAAACTTTAAAATAAAGTTGTTTTGTCAAAGAACAGGTTATGTAGACATTTCCTAGCTGTATTCCCTGGACATCAGTTGCTTCATACATTTTAAGGACAGCTATTTTGTTCTACTCAGCTTTCGGGACATTTGTTGTTAGTAGTTGACCATTAAATAATGGAATGTCTTTTTTTACTTTCAAATTCTGTAGATTTTTATTCACCGAGCAAGATTCCTAACAGTGGCCAGTTCGGCATTATAGATAATGCCATCTTAGAGATATATATGAACGATTTCTGGTGCTGGGTTTTCGAACCAGACAGATAAAAATATGATTGTCAACTCGCTGTTTTCATTTCAGAAAATTAACAGGGGTATCGAATTAAAATATGGACTTTACTTAAAAAGGATTTTTGGGTTCAATATACTATTCAAGAATATTAGTTTATTAGTTTATTTTCATATATTATCCAAAATTGGTTATATCGTTGAACATTGTATGAATACGATTGGCTTGAAACCAAATCCCGTTTACAGATGCAGTTGACAACCAACGTTTTGCTACTGTATATACAATTTCTATGCACGCAAATATTTGTAATCCATTAATTAGTATTTATTTAGAAAATATTGTACAGTTAGAAAGTGAAATTAATAGGCAAAATAATATAAAGGGACTGTCGTAAGTGTTATCTAAACAAATATTGTGTTTGACCCACATGCTTAAATGTATGGATATTAAAGATAGTATTAAATGATAGTATTAAATGTATATTGAATAGGATTTTGAATTTGTTCTAATGACTCCATCTTTAATAAATCGAACAGAAACCCCAACTAACAACCAGAAAATGGCCACAAACAATGCACACTACCCAGTGAAGGATCATGAGGTCGCCAGGCCCTGAATCAACATATCTGCCGAGCCCCAGTGACAAGATGACACCCGAAGGGGGAGGGGTATGGCCGTGGCCGGATGACACCGGTTCGCGATTCTTGTTGTCAAGCTAATTGGTTGAGTGAGAAACGGGGACGCGATTGATATATTGGACAATTAACAAACCGCTACCTGTCAACCAATTCCAAAACTCATCGAAAAAAGTCCAGTGAGCTATGTCTATAATTACTAATTATTTGTCGTCCTCTTTGCAAGTGATTACCCCTATATAAATACGCTGAAATGCACGTATGGTTTTCGGCAACCTTCGGTCGCCGCAATCCCAGGGTTTGTCTTTTATTCTGTTTTTTTTGTGTTTTTTTTAAAGTTATTTCATACAAAAATTCTAGTCCCATGAATTGCCCATTTGCCACCATGGTTATCTATGTTCGTGTTCCCCCTATTGATGTCTCAGTGAAACCTCACAGGGCACTACAGTTGTTCCATAGGAAAGTTCTTGCCTCATGAAATGCCCGAAGTCCACCATGGTTATCATGCAGACAAATTCTTGTTCCTGTAAAATCCCAATGGGAACGCGTTAATTTCCCTTGGGCGTTATTTGGTTTCCCATGCATAGACATTTTCATGAGTTGTAGCTGTACAGTAGGACGTTAAATCCCATTTCATTTCCATTTTAATGAAAATTCTATGTCTAATGCAAACCCAGGGGTGTTCAAAAGGGTAATAAACAGCTTCTTTACCCATAAGTATCAGAAATATAATGGAATTAGCTTTAACGTCCTACTTTTCCATTAGTATTAGATATGTATTAAAGTAGCTATGTCTCTAACTCAATATCATCCAAAATCTTCGACATTGAAAACACGAAATATTTGTCAATCTAAATCAACATTGGTGTTTTGATCTTACCGGGAAAAGATGGGCTTCTGATATCCAATGCTTATGTCAAAATAAACATTTTAATAGTGGTACACAAATCGTGTACCATATTGCGTTTCAGTGCCATTTGTAGGCTATAAACAAGGGACTCAAAGAACATGGCCAGACATATTCCACAAGTCATGTCAAACGGTAACGCTATACTCTTATCTTTAGAGCATGCGCAATAAATACTATCGGTGTAGACTGGAATAACCAGATGCTAGAGTTTGTCCTTCCGTTGAGACTTCTCGCGTACTTCGCCGAACATAACTGATTTGAAATTGGAGTAAAAACAGAAACGAATGAATGTAAATCAGTTTATATACATTCATATTACATTATTATATGCGTTGCGGCCAATTTGTGTCAATTTCTAGATCCCAAATATTAGCGATTTAGCTCCTTTAAATAAACTGCACCATATCTCGTTTATCAGCTATGTTTTTATACATCTAAGAAATGATATTATAAAAGGCTATTACCGAACTAGATTCTGTTGAGCGTATTATATTCTTCTTACCACTGACTATATCATGTTCTTCAATGAATCTCTTGGAATGGGGAGTGGTATCATTTTTCATTTAAAAACTTTACATAGCGGACTGATGTTTTGTTGTTGTACTATATTGTATTATACTAGGGGGTGCAACTGTAAACATGAAACTCGAAGTTGCAGCTGTGTCATCGATTCTAAAGGACATTCAAATACGAAAATATGCTGCTCTGTCTTCTCATTATATGACACTTGATTCCGGTTGTTTTGTTCTCGTCGGGTCAGTAGGATAACACATTATGAACATGATGGTGACGTATAATTTTAAAGATTGATGTTGTTGGGAATCGCGTTTAATACAATCCGCAACAAATGGTCAGATACAGAAACCTATTGAAGTTATATTGAAATACATATACTCTATATTGTAAGATAGACAGTCACTGAAATGTGCTCATATTTGGTAACCCATTACATAGTGGTACCGGGTGTTCAACTTCAAAAAATGGTCAGATACAGAAATTGTATTGATATACTTTTATATATTATTATACTGTTACCGAATTGCATTCATATTTTATGTCCTAAGCGATTTGTATCAATTTCAGTAAATGCAAAACTTTAATATAATATAATTATTATTATACGTTCACTGAATTGCATTCAAATTTTATGGGTTAAAAGATTGGTACCAGTTTCATAGAAATATAAATAACGAAATTGTATTGAGGTATTTTAATATATTAATTCGAAGTGTATCTCTATTTGATAACACCTGGTAAGAATAAGAATGGCGTCGTTACACATGTCGACGCTTACAAAGATATGTTATGAAGTATTATTGGGACTTATTAAATTATACTCTCACTGAAATGTGGTAGATCATATTTGATAATAAATCGTGAGAAAAAGAATGGTGCACATAATAATCGGCACACATGTTGACACATACAAAGATATCTTATCTAATCCCTTTCCTACACACTCCCAAGAAATGTTCTTTTCCACAGGAACTGTATCCGTAACTTGATTTCGCTTCATTGATCTTCGTTCAACCAGTCGAGCAACACAATGTAACCATGGTGGTATCGGGTGTTCTGTGCCTCTATGGTGTACTCTTATAATTAGTACTGTCATTAAGACAGATAATGTACTGATGACGATCAGACAAGATAGATAGATGGTGATATATGGTGTGTGATTCGAGGTAGTTGGTAGCATACCGCTGACAGTACTCATAAAAACAGCCAAAGACAGAAGTACTGTCAGAACATAGCTCAACTTCTCACCAGAATCAACTGGAACAGCAAACACAGCAGCATTCAAAAACGACAGTATAATAATTGGTAGGTATACATTAAGAAGTATGAATGTCGGGCGTCGGGTCAATGTGAGTCGGACAGTCACTTTTGATAACGCCTTACTGTTTCCATCAGTTTCGTTAGTGCCGCTTAGGTCTTTTAGAATCCATTCGCCATTTTCTCGTGTCTGTGTGGTTGAGATTTTGTTGTTTGTGACAAGTGTGAGTTGCTTTTGAGTAAAGTCAATAGGGAGAATGTTGATGTCACAGATTTGTTTATCATAAGGAAAGTATGTCATATCCAGGGCACAAAATGTTGTAACCACAGCAGCAGGTGTCCATGTTACAGAACCATCGGGAAAAATCTGATACGGATTGGAGTCCCCATAAAGCAAGTCTCTCTCATTAACAGAATTAGTTATCATGATGTGAGGTAACCATCGTTTTTCTTCTGGAATATTTACAATGCCTATACCACCAAAGTTATCGGGATTCCATTTTAAAAGTTCATCCATCCATTGAACTTTAAAGACAGCATTAGTGGTGATAGTTTGCTCCACGTCATCAACTTTAAGAACGCCGTCTAGCGAAAACTTTACACTGACTGTCATTGTCTCGGATTGATTTAACAATGGTCTGACTGACTGACTGTAATTTGATAGAAGATACGTTTCCAGTTTCTGGACATCCTGATAGGTTGCTGAAGCGTTTCCACCAGAAGTTATGATTAAAATCAAAAGCGTTGAAATAATCAACGAATACGTCATTTTCAAGAATTTTCAATTTAGGATATAATTATAATTTAAATGCAGAAACGTCCGTACACTGCGAAAACAATGGCAAAACTGATGGTGACTGCACTGCTATATTACATAACACCCTATAAATATAAGGGTTAAATATAACCGGTATGGCCAGATAAAAACTACGTGTATTCAAATACGATTAATAGGTAATACAATGGAAATAAATCATTGCGCCATGATACAAATAATACAAATATTTGAAGAGAAAACAAGAACCACATTAGATACATCTCAAATGTTTTTGTTGTCAATAGAAAAGAATTACTTTAATGAGACACCCTATTATCATGGATTGTTAACTGGGAGATGATGATGTCATTTGAATAGAAAACTAGATTCCATTAAATACGATTCGACATCGGTAATATTGTATGTCAAAACATGACTAAAGTATGATGGTAAATTCTTTTGCAGAATTTAGTAAAAAGTGATAGAATACACAAGAACTGGGTGAACGTTAAGCGGTGTATGAATAAATATAAACTGTTACAATAACAGACAATTAAAATTTTTAATTGGCTTGATTATAGAAGGGGTAGCAGCTTTTCGATTTAATTTGGTTTTGAAACGTTTAACGAATGTCGGTTTGTTTACTCATTCTATTATCTATTTGACTTACATTGTGTCACCAAGGGAACTTCAAGATACACCAAGGTATTTAAAGGGTAGGTATTCCCTATAAAATTATGACATATTGGTATATCGTCGCTAGGATCGCAAAACATCAGATTTATTCTCATTTCAATAACACTGTAGCCCTGATTGCCATTCTTACGGTTAATCATCAAAATGTTGGACCTATTAAATGGCATCAAGTGCTGATTGTGGTCTTGTCATGTTGATAGATATCTGATTGATAGTTTATAATTATAACATTTAATACCTGCATAATGCCTGTTTAATATTGATTAATTCCTGAAAAAATGACAATAATACCTGAAAATCTGGTCATGTGTTTTATCAATTAGCTCCAGTAAGGCAATTGCGAATATAGTATTGCATACAATATTTTAATATGATATTATCTATATTTTACCACTGTTGGTCCTTACATATTCATGCATTTGAACGTTTTATAATATTTGTAATATATGAAAATGTGTATCATTTGCACAAGTAAAGGCGTACAACAAGACCAGGAAACTTCATTGCATCTATCTTTGAATTGTGACGTAATGAATTAAAACTCGGAGGATGATAATTGTTAAAATGGCGGACCCCTAGGCATTGCCCCAACAAGAACTAGATTACCATCTGTATAGAGCCAGTTCCTGATTCAAAACCGAGGTCCTGTGTAGACATTGGTAGTTGGAATTCGATATACAAGTAGGGCAGCTTCTAGGCAAAATTTCCCCCATAGCACAGTGTATGGCGTATTTATTAGCCCAGTCATAGCAGAACACTAGGACGTTAAATCCTATTGCATTTTGATTTCATTTCAGTAATAAGTAGGACGATCCATTTCAGCTTATTACCTTATGTAAATTGTTGGATCATTCTTTGCGCATTTCTATTTCCATGAAGTATGTTATTTTAGTTTGTCACAGTTCTAAAGACAGTCTGTGGCACCCTTACAGTTTTGTCCTGTGCATACCCAACTATGGATTCTCTAGAGGTCACAAATTTTTATCCGATTTTAAAAACTATTTAAATATATCACCATTTCAACATAATGAAGTTTGAATTCGAATTTCGGAAAAATCGAAAAGAAACTGCCCGCTCTTTGTACCCACAAAAGTACGTAATACGAAGGTTGTGTGCCCTCTAGAGGTCAAAATTTTTATCCGGTTTTGATGAAACTTAAAATATATGTTTATGTCCCAAAGATCCCAGTCCCTTTCCTATATTTGCGCATTTTAGACCATATCTTTCTGGATTATAATAACCTTCATCGAATTGAAGAATCATTTGGGTGCATAGAATTTATCGACCCCATCTGGTTTTTGATTATATGTGATATTGACTTTGCAACTCTGTATATACTCCTGTTAGGCACGAATTGGCTATGTTATAATTGAACATGTAATTAATCCAATCCCATCTGTCATTTACAAGCTACATATGATTTGTGTACCAGGTTCGCAGGACTTTAAAGGAAATACGTATCGATCGGTTAATTATACCATGACGTGATATTAATAGACCATTCCATATATAACCATGACTCTTATCAATTTCCCCAATTGTTGGGCTATATAACCAATAGTTTACCGACAGACACAGAAGAGACGCAGGTGGGAGATGAGTGGGGAGGAGAAGAAAGGAACAAAGACCGGAGAATGGGCTCATCTGAGTTCGGTCGCTGCCGAGACAAAAGGGCGGAATGGTTGAAATATAGTCATAATATACGATATTAATGTACCGTGTTAATGTTTAATATTATATTCCTGTTGTATTTATGTAGCTGTTTTATATTCTGTTCCTATGAAAATAAACACTATATGTACGAAACTAATCTCTGTGTTACAAATGTCCGTGCAATAGTAATATATGGACATATGCGTGAAATTATATAATTAGAATAATAATGGTGCAAAAAATGATCATTGGGAAGTGCGTTTCAGAAAATTTGCTGGAATCAATTTGAAGTAATATTGAGACACGGTAACTGATATTTCGTCATATTTAATAATATATACCGAAAATAAGAATAGTGCACATAACGATAATAGTTACACATATTGACGCGTACAATAATATCTTTTCTAGTCCCTTCCTTACACACACACCAGAAATCTTCTGTTGTACAGGAACCGTTTCGGTATCTGAAATTTGATTCCGATTCTCCGATCTAAATCTAACCAGTCGAGTAACACAATGTAACCATGGTGGTATCGGTGTTTCTGTACCTTTACGGTGTACTCTTATAATTAAGACAGATAATGTACTGATGATTATCAGACAAGATAGATAGATGGTGATATGTGGTGTACGATTAGACGTAGTGGGTAGCATACCGCTGACAGTACTCATAAAAACATAGCTCAACTTTTCACCAGTATCAACTGGAACAGCAAACACAGCAGCATTCACGACAGGATGATAACTGATAAGTAAGTATCCATTCAGAAATATAATTTGATAGAAGATACGTTTCATGTTTCTGTGTTTCCTGGTAGGTTGCTGAAATGTTTCCACCAAAAGATTCGATTAAAATCAAAAGCGTTGAAATAATTAATGAATTCGTCATTTTCAAGATAACCCATATAGGCGACTTTAAATGCTTCTCTTTCTGTGCGTAAAAGAAAAATGCCCTCACGATTGCAGATGGTGGGTGTAGCGCAGTGATGCGCAGCACAATAAGTCATTTAAATCTTAACCAGTATGCCAAGATAAAAAAAAACCTATTTACATATAGTTTATATGTTTTGTAAATGTAAACAAGCAGCAGTAATGGTTGTATCCATTAGTGATATATGTTGACAAGTATGTAAAATTATTGTTTCCACAAATATTGTCAATGTGGGTTATTCGTCATTTATGTTATTGTACAATGTCTATCTTTTCAAATAAATATGTTCATTTAACTGGGAAATATATAACACAAATATTTCAAGAGGAAACATGCGTCACCATAGATGTACCTCAAATGATTTAGTTGTAAATAAAAAAAAATATCACGCGTGACACTTGTTTATCATAGAGAATTAACCGGGAAAGAGACAATCCTTGAATATATACACAAAGTAAAACTTTTCTTAACATCCCAATTTTAATTTAATGCTCATTTTTGTCCCCCGCCTTTCGAAGAAAGCAGGGGACTATTAAAATGGGTTCGTCCGTCTGTCTGTCTGTCCGTCCGTCTGTCTGTCCGTCACACTTTTTGGGACACAATAACTCTCTTCCTAATTGAGCTAGAATGTTCAAACTTGGTGTATGTGTTTATTAGGTCAATGCCTTGATGGAGTTCGAAGATGAGCATTTTCCGCTTAGGGTAAGCAGAGATAAGCAATTTGATTGGTTGATGCTTTGGGACACGATAACTCTCTTCCTAATTGGGCTAGAATGTTCAAACTTGGTGTATGTGTTGATTAGGTCAATGCCTTGATGGAGTTCGAAGATGAGCATTTTCTGCTTAGGGTAAGCAGAGATAAGCAATTTGATTGGTTGATGCTTTGGGACACGATAACTTTTAATTGAGCTAGAATGTTCAAACTTGGTGTATGTGTTTATTAGGTCAATGCCTTGATGGAGTTCGAAGATGAGCATTTTCCGCTTAGGGTAAGCAGAGATAAGCAATTTGATTGGTTGATACTTTGGGGCACGATAACTCTCTTCCTAATTGAGCTAGAATGTTCAAACTTGGTGTATGTGTTGATTAGGTCAATGCCTTGATGGAGTTCGAAGATGAGCATTTTCCGCTTAGGGTAAGCAGAGATAAGCAATTTGATTGGTTGATGCTTTGGGACACGATAACTTTAGTTCTAATTAAGTGAGATTAATGAAACTTGGTGTATAGTTTCATTACAGTAATACCTTGACTAAGTTCGATAATGAGCATTTTCTGCTCAGGGTAAGCAGAGCGATAAGCAATTTGATTGGCCGAGACTTTGGAACACAATAACCCTCCTTCTAATTGAGCTAGAATGTTCAAACTTGGTGTTGGTGTTTATTAGGTCAATGCCTTGATGGAGTGTGAAGATAAGCATTTTCTGCTTAGGATAAGCAAAGATAAGCAATTTGATTGGTTGATGCTTTGTTTGGGACACAATAACTTTAGTTTCAATTAAGTGAGAGTGATGAAACTTGGTGTATAGTTTCATTACATCAATACCTTGACTAAGTTCGATGATGAGCATTTTTTG